GCTCGCTGGATGTCAGAGCCCCTCCCTGACGATGTCGAAATTATCGAGGAAGATGACATCGTGCACATTGCCAAGACATGCACCCGCCCGAGAACATCCTGTGCCTACAAGGACTCCGCCGAAGTTCGTGTTGCTACAGCTGAAGCCAGAGCCAGCAACTGCAAAAATGCCTGGAAACGTGTACATCGTCTCCGCAAAGAATGCCGTAAGCAGTGGCAGGATGAGCGCCTTGCACGTATCCTCTCTGGCGATTGGGAACAATACCGTGCTCTGCAAAATGAGAAACGCCGGCGACGTGGATGGTGGGGTGAACTTCTTCAAGGTCGTTCTTCTGAACAGCTCACACAACACGTGCAAGAACACCTCGCCGGCAAACTCACAGGAGGACGACATGATTCTTGGAACCTCAAGCTCGACTCCTTCTTGGATTCTGCTCAGATTCAGGACGACTTCGTGCCCTTCCAGCTTCACGAGATCCTCTACGAGCTCCAGAACATGAAGTGCAGAAGTGCAGTTGGGCCTGATATGATTGGTGTTCATCTCCTTCGTGCAATTGCTGGACACGATCATCATGGACCATGCCTCCTGTCTCTCGTTAACCAGATCGTCAGTCGTCAGGAAATCCCCGCCAGTTGGGAACACAGTTTCCTCGCTCTCTTGGCCAAAATCCCGTCGCCTATGCGCCCGGCTGACTTGCGACCGATTTGCGTTTCCTCTGCCTTCAACAAGCTTGTGAACAGGCTTGTTTGTTCCCGAGTCCTTCCCATCATGCGTAGAGGGTCGAGCATTTCCTGTTGCGGTAAAAACCGTCAAGCCGCTGACTTGGTCGGCTGCATCTCTAGAATGCGTGACAACACCCGTGAATGGAAGCATCCCTTACTTCTTTGCAAGCTTGACGTAGCTGGAGCTTTTGATCAAGTTGATCGAGGCAAAATTGCACAGCTCCTTCTCGATCGTCTTCGGGGTAACGGTGTCAGCAGAGAACTCCGTTATATGCTTTGTCAACTCAGAGTTCACACTATGCATGGGGTCGTCCCTGGCGGTTCTAAAATCCGGATCTGCCCTGACGTTGGGATCAAGCAAGGGGCACCTGAAAGCGCAGAACTGTTTGGTCTGGCTGTTGACTCGCTCCTGTCCGAGCTCGTCCAAGCGCGTCAATGGGGTGAACTTGGAGCCCCCTTTGAGAACCTTGACCTCAGCCTCCTCTTCTACCAGGACGACGTGTTCCTTCTGGAGACAAACCTTGCGAAGCTTGGTCGCAGAATCAGAGCTGTTGGGAGATGTCTCCAACGTGCCGGTTTGCGACTTGCGAATGAGAAAACCAAAATCGTCGCCAACGAGTACTATTGTGGTGCAAGGAAAATCAAGATCGGCGAGGAGCTGTTCACAATTGCTCCACGGGGTGACCATGTGAAAGTGCTCGGGCTGAACTTTGCTCTTACTCAAGACCAGTCCGAACAGGCACGTCAGATCACAGCCCGAGTCCGAGATGCTGCTGCCGTTCACAAGGACATCCTCAAAGCCGCTGGATCGTGGGATGACAAAGTTAAGATGATGCGCACCCTCGTGGAATCACAATTCACATGGATCGGGGGTGCACTACACTGGAGCAAGGATGACCTCCACGCGTTGAACACTCTCCAGCTTCACATTTGT